GGCAGGCTCGTTCATTCTCTCCTCCTCCCAGTGCCCCTCTTTCTCGACGTCGTGTTGATGGTAATCTGCGGGTTTCTTTGTCTTACCGGCAGTCTGCTCTGCCACACCGACGGCGTTCGTCATTTACGCGGCGACCCCGCCAGATCAGATCTAGCTTTCCAGTGGTGACTGATTCGGATCTGCGGGCAGATCTATCAAATATTTGTGGTTTGACAGCCACAAATGTCTGCCTACAGGCTTATCAGCGTCAATGTTATACTGCATCCGAATTTCTTACGATTGCTTATCAGCTTGACGCTGTTGAAAATCAGTTGTTGTATGATCATAATGGTCCACCTCCTGAAGACAGTAACTATACTACCTCAGGAGGCTTTACTGTAAATGTCTTACAGTTAGCATTCACGGACGCCACCTTCTTATGCATCATGCGACGCCAGGAGATGTCCTCACTAACCATCCTCATATTTCTGCCTGTATTTTACATAGGCCCGGGCATTATATGGCACTCATTCGTGCAGCTGCCCAGTGGGAACTGTGGGACGGTGGGACGATGAGTCGGGCTATTTTCGACGTAAATGAATTTTTGCATGGATTGTTGAATCGTACTTTATTTTGGATTATTGACCGACTCTCGTGTGACACCTGTCGGGACAAAGACGCGGTGCGCCTTGGCTGTGGAATGTATCATCTATGCCATAGCCATTATCAATCTATTGCGACTGCCGCCGTCTGTACTTAGGGGGGCCCAACATTTCCTCACTGTACACATCCCTATCACCCAGATATACGTTGTCCCTATTGTGCCCAAGGACGCTATCAGAACTGCATGATGCCGCATTGTGATGAACGTCCTGCTGTTCTTTTGACATGTGGACAACATGTCCTCTGTCAGGACTGTTTTGATGGGATGGTTCGTGCTAGCCGTCCTGCTGAATGCTGTGCTCGCGAACATCCACATCATCCTCACCGTAGCTGTCCTATCTGCCGAGGTGGGAAAAAAAGAAGAAAAAAAAAAAAGAAAACAGGATAGAAAAAGAAAAAAACTATAGGCTGAACTCCGGGCCGCCCGGCACCCGGCTCGTCGCCCGGGCGGGGGGCCGGGCCGCCTGGCCGGTCGTTCCGCCCGGTTGACCACCGGGCGACCCCAGCGCATCCTCGAGGGCGGTTTTTTTTTTTTTTTTTCGTCGCGAGGGGCCTTCTCCCCCCCAAAGAAGACTGTGTACGGAAAAGAAAAAAAAAAGGGCCTAAGATTTCAAATCGGGGCCCATCTGCGGCGTCGATCTCCAAGATCGACGCCCCAGATGGGCCGCGATTTCAAATCTTTCAATCGGGTCTGCCAGCCCTTTTTTCTCCCCACTCTGCTTCTAGTTTCCTGCCTTCCTGGCGCAGGCCTGGGTGGTTGCCTTCGTACCCCGCCCAACACCTCACTTTCGTCCGAGTGCAGCCTTCGTCGTTGCCGTCGAACCGCACGCCCGCCAACGGAGTCGACGCCCCCCGAACGCCATTGCGCTGCCCGCCAACAGAGTCGACGCGCCCCGAACGCCATCGAGCTGCCCGCCGACGCACCCCGACGCCCCCAGACGCACACCACAATGAGTGTGTTAGTACGAGGAAGTGTGTGTGTGTGTGTGTGTGTGTGTGTGAGAGAGAGAGAGAGAGAGAGAGAGAGAGAGAGAGAGAGAGAGAGAGAGAGAGAGAGAGAGACTATGGAAGGACACGACACTTGGGTTGTTGAAGCCTTTGCCTATCCCTGCTGGTCGAGGACAGAGTGTCTCCATGGATTTCATGGACACCCTGGTGACTAGTAAGAGTGGCAAGAGGCACATCTTCGTCATCATCGACCGATTCACCAAGTACGCTAGACTAGTGGCTATGCCAGAGACCGCAAGAACTGACTATGTCATCAAGTTGTTCAAAGACAACTGGGTGCGTGACTTTGGTTTACCAAAGTCAATCGTTAGTGACCGAGATGTCCGATTCACAAGTGAGCTGTGGAAGAAGACTGCAGAACAGATGGGCAGTCAACTTCAAATGACTTCAGGGAATCATCCCGAAGCCAACGGACAAGCCGAGCAAATGAACAGAGTTGTACAGCATTTGCTGAGGCATTACATCAAGCCCAGCCAAGATGATTGGGATGAGCAGTTGCCTCTCATCGCCAGTCTGTACAACAATGCTATCCATAGCAGTACCGGCGTTAGTCCTAATCAGCTGCACTTGGGATGGAAGCCAAGATCAGCACTAGACTTCCTCCTACCCGAAAACCGACCCGCTGCAACTCCAGACACACTAGAGTATGGTGTGCAGTATGAGAAGTTGCTGCAAGAGGCTGTCGAGCATATGAAGAAAGCTCAGCAAGCAATGATTGCTTTTGAGAATCAACATTGTAGACAGTCCACATTTGAGGTAGGGGAACGAGTCTGGGTCAAGGCTAGTGAGTTAGGATAGGAGTTCGGAATCTCTTGCAAACTAATGCCTCAGTACTTTGGTCCCTGGGAAGTCCTGGATATAGTGGGAGATGAGGTGGATGGTCCCACATATGTCATTCGTGTCCCTGGACACCTACGCACTCACCCAGTCTTTCATGCCTCAAAGCTTGCATCTTTTGCTGAGACAGATCAATTCCCTTCCAGGAGATCGATGCTGCCCCCAACCATGGATGGACAAGTGGATATCGACGACATTGTGGATCACTAGGATATGCCTGTTCCGGAGCCGCTGGGTCGAGGAAGACCTCCTAAACCCAAGAGAGAGTACCGCGTCAGATTCAGGCATCATACGGATCCAAAAGAAGATCGGTGGTTTACCAGGGAGGAACTGATTGAGACAGCTCCTCAGGTGGTGGCAGAATATGAGAGGCTACTGAAAGGGAAGGCACCTGCGAAGTAAGCATCTCAGCGGACTTTCGAAGCTAAGGGGGATGGAATGTGAGGATTGAGCCCTCAAGTAGGGGCCTTGCCATGATGTACATGTTCTGGGCTAAGGCCCCAGCAAGCCTCGTGCCCGCCCTGAGTGAAGGCGGGCCAGCAAATCAACAAGAGCCCTCTGTGCAACATTTCACGAAGTGGGGTCCATACAGTTGCAGCACACCAGTTGGTTGGAGTGCACTGAGTCTCAGATTTCAGCAAATGCT